AGCCACAAACCTTTGTTATCATTCTTTCCTATTCTATTCTTAGCCAGCCTTCTGATGAAACCCTTCCTTCTATTCTTTTAGTATAGTTTTAATGTAATATATATCATGAAATAATAAATCAGCCTTCTGAAACACAGAGTCAGATCCTCATCTCCTCCCTCTCCTCAGACCCCTGTGAACACCAGCACATTACTGAGCTGCCAGGATTTAAACAAACTCTCCAGCACCCCTGAGAGCTGAAAAACTGCACAAAGAGAAGCTGAACCTCAAGAGCCTTCTCTGAACATCACCAGCGTTAACTTAAGCTCTCCCTTCAGGGTTCTGTTAAAATAAAAGGCTCCCACTTACCTTCTACATCAATATTTTGATCAGGAATCTCCAGCTCTATGACATTCATGCTGGATTCTTTCCAAGAGCCACTGAACATACTGGAAAAGTAGCCTGACTGTATGAAGGAAGAGAGAAAAAGAACTCAACTAAGAGATTTCATCCAAACTGCCAAAAGCAGCACCAACACGGTTAATATTTCCCTTTATGCAGAACAAAATAGATGAAGGGAGCTTTCACAAGCTAAAACATTGTGACAGACTCGAGGGGCTGACTGTAGCTGCTGTTTCTGACACTCAAAATGCCTACAGGAAAGTTTGGGCTACGTGTGTATAACCAGAGTAAGGAGGGAGTTTGAAAAGGCCAGAAAAGCTACACAAGCTCTTTTTCCCACAAGCCACATCACCAGTGGGGACAGAATTAGTCCAAAAACGAAGTCCTTAAGGTTACTGGCAAACAACAAATCCTGCAGGCATTAGGGAATGCCAGTTAGGGGTGGAAAAAAAAAAAGGCATGCAAGACATACAAATTACTGTACAAGGCTGCAGCCTCATACCAAGGACACAGACACACACACCATTTACGGCAATATACCTTTTATTATTAAGTGAAAAGCACATAAAACTAGAATTTGAGGTTTCCATCCAAAGGAAGGGAAAGATAATGCTCTACTAGGGTTCCTGATTTTCCTTCCCAGCAGCAGATGTGCCCATTATGAGATGCTATCAATGAAGTTTACCTGAGAGATCAAAAAAATAAAGTCTATTTGTACAGCACCGCATTCCCTGACCAATCCAATCCCCTCGCTGGGACCACACAAGCATTTGCTGAAGCTGCTCTACAAGTCGGGCACTGACACAGCAACAGCCACCAAAAAAACCTCAGAATTGGCTTTTCCTGTTACTTGTGGCAGCAGAGAAAGTGCAGCCAGGTGTGGAGCACCTCCCTGTGCCACAGTGACCCAGCCCTGCTCTGGCTGCCACTGCAGCTCCTGTCCAGGTCCAGCACCTGAGGGCTTCACACCAACCCCTGAAAGACACGGGCACAAGGGAATTTGGTGTTCGAGGGCACAGCACAGACAGCGAAGCCACCAGCACCTCTGAGCTCCCACAACACAGACACAAAGGACTCCACCTCAACACCAGCCCAACAGGAAATGTGTGTGGAAGCAGCATCCTTTCTGGGCCATGCACCAGGGACAACGCACCAAGATTAGGAATAAAAAAAATTAAACAACATAATTAAGCGGTATGAGAAGCAAAAATTTTTTGAAATGTGAACCTACAGCTCTGCCTCCCAAAAGGAACTCCTGTTGCTAACAGGAGCTGGTTAACTGTTAACATCTACAAAAAGAGTTAAACTCCTAAATGTAAAGTGGATAAAAATAAGAAGGATCATCAGTCATACCTCAGAGTTCTCAGACACCCTTTTATTAAAAACACAGTTCCTACTGGGAGCTAGAAAGGAGCCACTTACCTGACACAAATAAATCTTGTGCAAGTTCCACTCCTCTCCCAGAGCACAAATTTTGATATCACTGTTCTCCCCATTCAAAAACAGAGTCTGATATATATACTTCGACGTGCTTTTCAACTTTTTCCTAGCAAAAACAAAACAGCAGACCGCGG